TTCTGGGCCCTCCGCTGTGCTCCTGGGCTGTCAGCCCAAAACCTGTCCTCCAGACCCCCTCCACCCACCCTGGCATTTGGGTCCTGCTTGCTTCACTCTACCGTAACAGTAATCTTACTAGAAATCCCGTTTTAGGAATGTACAAGTAATCTGATGACGTCTCTTTTTATGTAACTATTTTTGTATCCTATTACCAGTGGCGGGGAGTATTTTTGTTGGGTAATCTATGGTAGGGCTAACCCATACAGTGGTGGGGCTCAAGTCAGTATTCAATGTAATTACATACAAACTATATCGCCCCCCCTTGACAGTGAAAGGCCACGCGTGAGGTTTAGACTATTTCCCTGTCTCGATCAAAATGGAACTGTATGAAATAAAACGGCACATTTGTTTTGTAGTAAATAAAAAGGGATCACTGTGAACGTGACGTATGATAGTACACGTTGAAGATCCAATGGGGATACTGAAAGGCGGTTCCGATTGATCTCAATCAGTAATGCATGACGCAGACCCAACGTTTCTTTGCTCTGATTGGCTGTAGGTCTGATTCAAATTGCATTCGGAGGCATTTTGATCTGACCGCGGCCGCGCTGATATTATAACGCCAGAGAATTTCCACACCTTTAGTGTATAAAACTCCCCCACTACTACTTAGACTATTCCTTGCACCCCTCTTCTAGCATAACCCTGAATGGTCTCAACCATATTGCATCAGTAACGTGCACTTGTTGTTACAGCAGGATCAGTTTGTGTGTTGTGGACACGACCCGTATATTTTCGCAAGCCGTTTTCTCAACATTTAGCATTTTGCTTATTATTTAATTTAATCTGCTTACTTTAACATCATTTTTCATGGTAGGGCTAAGCCATTTCTTGGTATGGCTGTAGCCTACCCAAGCCATACCCTGGCTTAACTGCATAACTGCACTTGACTATCAGCTATGAACTTGACATTAGCCTAGAGACGTAACCACTATCTCTTTAGTACCTTGTACTTTATAAACAGAAAACAAATACTTTCCGTTATAGGATATTTACTGGAAATGACATTATGAAAAAATAGCAAATGACAAGTGGGTAACTTTCATCTCCCTTGCCAACTCCGTACAGGAAGCTGCCATCCTTTTTCTGTTTTTTTGTTGGTATAAAGGAGGCTGTATCATAGATTTCCTCAATTCAACTTCACAAATCAGATATACCTCTTCCATTGCGCTGCTTTCAAAGCAAGCAACTGCAACAAATAGAAACGAAGAGTCCGGGTGTCTTAAATTCAGCTCAAAATGACGAGGTCATGCCAATAGAAAACAATGCTTGCATCACATTGAGTTAGGACACGTTTTAGAGATAAGATGAAGTGTTCAGATCTCTGCGAGGACCTCGGATTAGAACTGCTGCTACTTTGCGTCAACAGGAGCCAGTTGAAGTGACAGTTGACCTTCCTTTGGAGGTTTTCTAGATACGATGGCTGGAAGGAGACCCTCGGGCCGACCCAGAATACAATGGAGAGATTATATCTCATCTGGTTTGTGAAAATCCAAGGATCACCCGGGAGGAGATGGAAAACGAGAAACCTCTGGACTACCTTGCTTAGTCTTTACTACAGTGATCCATGACCGTTCAAACCTTTCATGATTGGTTTGTACTTATTTTTTGTATCTCAATATAAAAAATAAATGTTATCTAGACTGTGGCTGGTAGGTTTGTTAGTTTTAGGTTGGGTTGACCAAAATGTGTGCAACAGAATGACGTACCCATGAACTAAAGCTGGATTGTCCATTGATACTCTCTTAGAATACTATAGTTGTTGACGTTTCTCATAGGCAGCAGGTCAGGGTTGATGGATGGGTGAAACAAATACAAGACTTTATCCAAGTGTACCTTGGAGACCTTTGGAGAATGCATTGTATCTAGACAGAGTCCTTTACAGGTGCACTCCATTCCTCAAAAACAGAGATCCAACCCAGAACTAGAGTCAGGACAAATTTGCTGCATCACAACACAAATTATGACATAACGTTCAAAATAAAAGCATCCCCAACTGTGTCAGTGATGGATTATTTCTCTGAAGGTTGATTTGATGACTTCATTTTTAAATAATGATCAGCAAAAATGGAGAGAGACTACACATTTTCAACCAAAAAAACCCCAGAATGCTACTTTAAAGTCTTTACTCCCTAAAGTCATTGCTGGCATCACCGCAGCAGATTTGTCACCCGTCCAATCAGAAGCTCAGGTTCTGGGACAGTTTAGGTCACATGACTTTGGGTTGTCACGTTGTTTCTTCCTGCATCACCCGCAGGACCGCAAGAACCGACTAATTATCCCCGAATTATCCCGAGTCAACTCACATCATGACAACAGTGTGTGTGTGTGTGTGTGTGTGTGTGTGTGTGTGTGTGTGTGTGTGTGTGTGTGTGTGTGTGTGTGTGTGTGTGTGTGTGTGTGTGTGTGTGTGTGTGTGTGTGTGTGTGTGTGTGTGTGTGTGTGTGTGTGTGTGTGTGTGTGTGTGTGTGTGTGTGTGTGTGTGTGTGTGTGTGTGTGTGTGTGTGTGTGTGTGTGTGTGTGTGTGTGTGTGTGTGTGTGTGTGTGTGTGTGTGTGTGTGTGTGTGTGTGTGTGTGTGTGTGTGTGTGTTGAGAGAGAGAGAGTGTGTGTGTGTGTGTGTGTGTGTGTGTGTGTGTGTGTGTGTGTGTGTGTGTGTGTGTGTTTAGAGAGTGTGTGTGTGTGTGTGTGTGTGTGTGTGTGTGTGTGTGTGTGTGTGTGTGTGTGTGTGTGTGTGTGTGTGTGTGTGTGTGTGTGTGTGTGTGTGTGTGTGTGTGAGAGAGAGAGAGTTGTGTGTGTGTGAGAGAGAGAGTGTGTGTGTGTGTGTGTGAGAGAGAGAGTTGTGTGTGTGTGTGATGGTGAAACGGGGCATCCCATCACTCGCACACAACAATGCATCTGCCTTGTTAACTTCTTACTTTTCCCTGCCTTGTCTCTTTGTTCGTGTGTTTGTGTAGGTGTGTGTGTGTGTGTGTGTGTGTGTGTGATGACATTACATCAACATGTCTTTGTGGTGCCTGGCTATGTGCTGGCTCTTCTCCGAAGGCCTCCTAAAGCCCTTGGTGCAGTAGTCACAGCGGTGTGGGTAGTCCTTGGTGTGAATGGAGATAACATGGCGTTTGAAGCCAGAAGCGTCCGTACTGTTATACTCACAATACTGGCACTGATAAACCTTTCTACCACTGTGTGTCTTCATGTGTTTCTTCAGCTCCGCCGGCTGCCGGAACCCTCGCCGGCAGCGCTTGCACTTGAAGGGAAGGTCCTTCGTGTGCAAGGACAGGATGTGGCGACTCAAAGTGAAGGTGTCCGGGGCGTTGAAGTTACAATGTCGGCACTGGTGCACCTTGTTGCCCTTATGTGTCTCTGCATGCTTCTTCAGCTCCGAGGGCCTGTGAAAGCCTTTCTCGCACACGTCACACTGATGGGGGAAGTCCTTGGTGTGTACAGAGATAATGTGTCGTTTCAGGTCGCTGGAGTTGGTGCTCTTGTGCTCACAGTGTGGGCACTGGTGGGTCTTGTGGCCTTGCACCATCTCTATGTGCCGCTGGAGTTCCCGTGCGTCGGCGTATGCTTGCGGACAGTGGCTGCACTTGAAAGGCAGATCGGCGCCATGCTTGCTCTTGATGTGAGTCTTTAGGTTGGACTGATCTGCGCAGCGGAACTCGCAGTGCGGGCAGTGGTAGGGCTTCTCGCCCGTGTGGGTCCGCATGTGTTTCTTCAGCTCTGATGGGTGGCGGAAGCCCTTGGCGCACTCGACGCACACGTGTGCAAAGTTCTTACTGTGTACAGCCAGCAGGTGACGGTTGAGCAGACCCTGTTCAGCGGTCTCATAATCGCAGTACTTGCAGTGATGCAGTTTGTTCTCCCGGTCCTTGACGATGAGCTTGTCGGAGCCCAGAGGGCTGGACTCGTGGTAGCGCCGCGCGTACTCGCTGTATTCTGGAGAGCGCTCGTTGTGATTCAGCAGCTTGTGACTCTCGAGGTGGTTGTGGAAACTGATTTTCTTGTTGGTGGTGAAGTCGCAGTCTGTACATTGGTATTTCTTCTTCACCAGGTGGTCCGGGTGGTTCTTCATGTGACATTTGAGGAAGCCTCTTGAGCGAAACTTCTTTCCGCATAGGTGACAGGGGTAGACAGTCAAGGGCAACCCATCTGGTCCGATGATAACAGCTGGAAGAGAGCGATGGAAATACTGTTATCCATCAAAAAATATTACATTCTCACTAGCAAATTATCTTCTTCACACAAATTCTAAATCTGTCCATACCGGTCTGAGACTGTCGAATATCTCCTTTCTTCTTTTTCTTAGTTTTGGGTTTAAGGACACGGTTGTCCCCGAGTCCCTCTCGGATTTGCAGAAACGGTGAAGCCGCTCCATTCTTCACCTGATCGATGGTATTACCTGCACGGAAAAAATAGAATTAACTTTAAATTCTAAGTTTAGCTAAAATTGGTTATTTGAAAATATGCTCCAATACACTTTCAAAATGTATTAATATGGCGTATCTGAGCTGTGAGACATGCTGTGCAAACTGTCCAAATGTAGAAACATTTTGTTGATTACTCATTTCAAAAGCCGCCTCTTACTGATCTCCTTCAAACACTCAATGTGTTGTATATAAATCATAATCATTTCAATGTCAGCTCATCGCAAAAGAAACTGCTTGTTTATTATGGGCGCATAATAGCCATAATTATATAACTAATTAACTAACAATTGTTTGTTTTGTGCCTATGCTTAACTAGAGATCTATTATCGGTGTGTTTTTCCTTTCGATTTGTATCGCAGACAGACAAGCAACTTGTTGTATTTTAGCAGTATTCAAAAAGCATTGGGAAGGCTAAAGTGAATACACTTTAACAGTTGTATTTAAAGTGATGAACATGTTGTATTTCTATGGCGATATTAAATAACGTTATTGCACACATTCCTCATGTCATGTAACTCTAATTGACACCTTTTGCTCGTTTACAGCCACACGACCCGGCTGAGACAATACAATTAAAGTGGTTTCACAAAGGGACATACTGATGTCATCATCGTCATCCTCGTCACTGTCATCCTCATCATCCTCTTCTTCTTTCGGGTGGTTCTTGACCGCCATGTAGACCATCTTGTCACGGCCAACTCCCAGTCTGCCTGACGATGCAGCTTCCAGGTCAGGATGGCCATTCTGGTAATCATCCTCTGTTATTACCTCTGTTCCACCTGGAAAGAGATAACATTACAATTGAAATCGAATCCATGATCAACATTACGTTTAACAGGGAAGAATTGTGTTGTATTGTTGAAATGATTTGATTATTCTAAAAAGTCACTTACCCAAGTCATCATCTGCTTCAGCTTTGAAAATGTAGACTTTGATGACCTCGGAGCCGTCCTCCTCTTTACACTCCTTGTCTTCCATTACCTCAGTGCTGATCTCCAGGGGAGTGTCTCCTATGTCCAGCTTCTCTCCCACCTCATCCACTACAGTAACACAAGTAGTCATGGTTCATAAAACATATCAATAATAAAACATGGTATTACATATGAACAAAGTTAATTAACGTATACATGATGAAATTATGTCTTACAGGAGATCATGAGGTAATCCTCAGAGCTGCTTCTTGCATCATCATCCTCGTCCGTCTGCAGGGAGACAGCCTCTGCTGGCATCTGTTGGTGGATGATGGTCTCCGAGTTGGATTCGGTCACCATCAAGCCTTCTGACACGAGCTGGTGGTCCAGCGTGTTGTCCTGGTGGTCAGACAGCAGCTCCGCCACAAACACCTGGTCTGGCATGTCATCATGATGGTGGTTTGAGTCCTGGATGAGGTCTGCAGTGAGGACATGATGATGGTGGTGATGGTGGTGGTGATGGTGGTGATGGGGGTCCAGATCTTCCTCTATTGCAACCTCTGTGCCCATAATATTCTCAGGCATGATCACACTGTGTTCTGAGGTCACCATGTCTTCAGAGCTAATTTCATGGGCTTCTACTCCTTGCGACTGCAGACTCTCCTCATCTACCTCCAGGCCTTCAACAACCTCCGCCTCCAAACCCTCCTCTTCCACTTCTTCCTCAAGGCCCTCGACGATGTGAACTCCCAGGTCTTCGACATCAACCTCAGTTTCCAGGCCCTCAACCACATGTGCCTCCAGACCCTCCACTTCCACCTCGCCATCGACAACATGAGCCTCCAGCTCTACCACATGTGTCTCCAGCCCTTCGACCTCTTCTGCCTCCAAGCAGTCAACATCTGCATGTAAGCTCTCCACCACTTCCGTCTCAAGTTCTTCCACCACCTCAGTCTCCAGGCAGTGAACCTCAAGCTCATGCTCCAGGAGGATGCCCTCGTCTGTCATCACATCAGAAAGAAGCATACCTTCAGGCACAGACACCACAATATGCTCCCCGTCGATGTGAGCCAGACCCCCCATGCCTGCAACTGTAAACACAAGACACACAGAGAGGGCTGCATGACAAAGAGTTTCCTAAAACAAAATGAGCATATAAACTGCAGAGTGTGTTTAAAATTGTAGCTACAGCAGAGATATCTGAACAGATCGTAATATTGTATAATATTGGTGACAGGTATCACCTGCTCTATGGTGGTTTGTTGGGAAAACGTCAGAATGACAATGTTTGTAAGGCAAGTTTAAACAGTGACTTTTTTTATTTATGTAGGCAATAAAAACCAAATGACATTGGCCCTGTCAACGTGACGGAGGAGACCAAATCAACCTGATTGTATAGAAGTATAGTATAGTTTATAAAGTGTGTATAGAGCAGCTCTCTTACATAGTTAAAAGTGATTACATTATTTTAAGAAATTACTGATTCAATCTTAAAGATATTTAGGTTTTGGCTATACTTTAATTTGTCGGATGGTGTGTATTGGATTACATTTTGAGATGACTGGTTTTCAGCTTGTCCTATTTGACCACTTACCAAAGTCTTGCATGATCATAGCGTGGGGCATCTTAAGCTCCTGAGTGTGTAGCTCCAACACTCCTCCTCCTTGATCCATGTCTTTACTTGGGGAAAAGCCTTAAAATTACAGTGTACACTGTTAGCAGTTTTCTTGTACTGTGTTAGTGTGCTTTACTAACGTGAAAATGAAAGCAAAATGCAACACGGACTAGTAACCAATACATACCTTCACATTTGATGACAAACCCCTTAGAATACAACCAACAGGGTTATTGATGTGCTTCCTTCCATCAAGTTAATCAATCCCTTGGTAAAAGAAAAAAACAAACATAAACAATTGGTACTCATAGGCATTGTGCACATAATAGAAGGGAACAGAAAGGAGGCAGGTATGTAAAAACGTTACAACACAACTTGTATAGCCTACATGGGTTCAGCTTTATAATAAGAACAGTGTTAACACCATAATTAATGGAATGTGTATGAGTAACGTTAAAACACAGGGCCGAACACTTTCACTGAGGAGGAGGGCAGTTTTGTTGTTGACCACTGGCTCCATCCATTGCTTATAAGTAGTACTACAGGCGACTTCAAGCTGATATAGCAATACACCTGGAGCTGGTTGAGCCTGATGGCTGCAGCCCAGCTGAGACAAAGGGCTGTCCCGCTCAGTGTGCAGGAGGACGAGCCCACAGTCAGCAGCTCTGATAGCTATTGAAAGATGAGTCCTGCTTGTTTATGTATTGCCGTCGCACGGTTCAAAATAAGCCAAGTGGGTAATGTCCAAGGATCTGTGGTGACGTTAAAGTCCCGCGGATATATAACTTAAGGATGAAATAAGCAAGGAGCTTATGCATTGGTCTTATTAAAAAAAGTATTTATTTTTGGACTTTCAAAAAATCCACACCAGCTTTGAGTTTATGGCCGCCAATGAAAGTACCGCAGACGTTATGCAATGCATACCAGGGCGGCTACCGCCCTCCACCCACCAGAGCTAACTAGCAAGCGAGCTAAGACTGATCCTCCGAGGCGCCATTTTGTTCTAGCATAACTGCTACTCCAAGGAATGCGACAACTGCTCTTATTTGACCATTTTAAACTTAAATACATTCAACTATACACTCTGAATAAAGGCACCCGCATTACCAACAAACCAACAGGACATATATGACAATAATTATGCAAGTAGCTCTAATCCGCGCGACGACGATCTTCCTGTTGGCTAGCTAGCTTGCTAAGCTAAGTGAAGCAGCTTGTGCCGCATTATCTTCCATGTTGTTTTCCAAAAGGCTGAAAGAGGCCCGCTACGGCCGACTGGGCCCTTGCGTCGTATTCCACATGCCTTTCTAACCGATTCAAAATAAAATTACCTGATAGCGTCCTCTTCTGACTCTATCGGTGTTTCTCCCCCTTCTCAGTTTTGTCTGTTATTGTTTTGGTTTATTTTTGACGGTAAGCTAAGTGCGGCCTGCAGTTTTGGATCCCCGGGCACCCTTTGCTAGGCCTCGGCCAATCAGCTTTCTTCCTGACGAGGGAGGGAGGGCGGGGGGCAGACAATGCGTGGCCTCGTTTACCGCTGATCCCTTACTATTTGCGTCATGCATAAGAGAGCAGAGTAACGTTAAAACACTTTATCCTAATGGGAACATATCTGTGCCCGGATTTGAGACACAACATTCAAATGTTATCACTTTTTTTTTTTTAACATGGGTGCCGACTTCGTTCACATTTTGTTTGCGCAGATGAGGCCTGTGGGCCATTTTGTCACAAGGGGTGGGTAGCGTCGAGCACTCATTTGTGAGGGGTTTGGTGATGAACCCAGGCAGGAAATATCCGGGAGATGCTGCCGCTACTGCTTGTGCTGCGGAGGGATTAAATACTGTGCATAATTGCTGCAAATTAGTTGCATGGTTTATATAATACAAACATAAAAACAAATGCAGAAATTAAAGTTTCAGGGTAGCCTTTATTTTTTGGATTTTAATAACAGCTCCTAATTGTCAGAGGCACTCTGAGGGTGCATAGCTGTCTAAGGCACAAGGCCTTCGTGCATAAACATCTTCTTCATTAAAGTGGTATCCAAAAGCACATTTAAAACCACCTATAGATATGCAGTAAAAATGCCTGCAAAATGCAGTATTATAACAGTACCTTTGATGTCAAGATTCTTCTGAAGTGTTGCAGCGGAAATGCACCTTGGCACAAACCATATATTTCCATGTTTGTATTATTTATAAGGGCAGTGTGGTTTACATGAGTTGCCTTGCTGTGTAAGCAAAGACCATAACTCAAATACAACACCAAACTATAGATAATTTCACAATGAACCATTGAACAATCAAATTCACAATGAACCATTGAACAATGAAATGCACACATCATTGTGGGACACATGAAAGATTTGTCATATTGCAGTTACACAATGATAAGGGAAAAAAAACAAGCATGCAACACTCAGCACCTTCATCTAGTAGGAATTCCCACAGAAAATCAACAAACCACCAATATCTTCATTTAGACCGTCTTCATATCAATTACATCAATAGAACAGGGACCTTTAATATTCCAGCAGTTTCTAGCAATTACCATATAAAAATAAGTAAAATTGACACAAACAAATCTTCTGGAAGCTCAGAGTTGGTCCATATCACAAGTATAGTGTGCATGTGTGCATTATTGTCTGCCTACACACTGTGCCTCTCTGTGTGGGTTGACAATGTTTCATGCTAGGGAAAGAGATGAGTCTTGACTACGAATCCAGTGCAGCCCAGCACTCCAGTCTAAAATTGGGGGACCCAAAGGTTGTAAAACATATTTGTGGACACAGTGGCTGTGTTCTTTGTACAAGAAGAGATAACGGGGAGAGGTCAGGGTTGCAGCAGTTATCATCCTTCCATCACTGGCAACGCTCAGTAACAGCCATCTTTCCAGGATTCATCTGACATTTTAGTCATGCCAAAAGACCTGCCAAAGAATATAAAGTTAGCATTCATTCACAAAAGAGACAAAGTATCATAGAAATGACATAAATACAATATTGCCATAATTAAAGTAAAAAATCCTCAGTTTGTTAAAATTCTCTAATAGCTTGTAAGCACTCACCTCATGGGGGGCTGAGAAAGTTTACTTCTGGTAGGGGCCTGTCCTCGGCCCGCGGCAGCCCTCCCTGCCCCGGTGGAGGCTCTCCCGGGGGTGTAGGCTCCTCCATTAGCCGAGCCGACGGACTGGACCCTGCGGCCCCCTCCTGCAGGCGCTGCTTGGACAACAGGAAGACCTCTTGAAGAACGACCAGCTGCCATTTGAGGGACAGCTTTAACCGGAGTCCGCAGGGAGAGAGGTGACTGGCCGTTGCCATTCAGCCGACTACTAGCTATACCTTGAGTGGAAGAGAGGCTCAGTGGTATAATAGAATCTCAAACTTCTATTACTCTGACAACTTAGATTTAATATACAAAGGATAAATAAGCTGTAACTGAAATTCAAACTACATTTGTGGCCTGTGGGAGTTACAGGAAAGTGTGGCAAGAGCAGTACTGGATTATCAAGGTATAGGTTAAAGGACAGTAATTAAATAATCGTGTAGCAGGTAAGTGATCGGAGGGTTACCTCTACATTTCGGGTATGTCAAGGAAGGAGTAGTGGCAACATTTGTGATGGTTTGCGGAACTCTTACATGTCTGTCACCCACATGTTGTATGAGTGAGTATTAGATTAAATATATAACTGTTTTTTTTATATATATAAAAAGGGTGATCAAAGGGAAATACATACATTTATATACATTTCCTTCAAAGACACAAAAATTGGATTTCTTTTTGAGTTTTTACATGTTTAGGAAAGTATTTACACGTGAAAAATATATAAGAGGAGTAAATGTGTGAGTGTTTGTTGTGTTTTTTAGCTCAGGTCATGCAGAGGTTTTAGGAAATAAAGTGTTAGGATTAGAGTGACATTCGGTATATGCAAGGCAGACACAGATGGGGTGGTGCGGATCAGGTGAAGAGGGAAGGGTTACCTGTGGAGGGGGAGTGGGTCAGGTGGGACATGCGGTTGCCAGAGCTTTGGAGGTTAGCCTCCATGCTGCGGCTGTTCCTGACTGCTTCCAGGGATCGTAGGCTGGTGCGGGGGGCCAGGTTAGGCATGCTGTGCCTCAACTCTTCTGGAACCACACATACATGACACATTCATCTTCAGTGTTTGTAATCACAGCTTTGGGTTCAACAAGAATCTCTGATGGCCACACTGATCTTCTCGACATATGGTATTAATGCTATTCTATCGGTGTTGTTGGCCTACCTTCGCTCTTTGCAAATTTCAGCAGCTCTGCACTGGGGCCCTGAAGTGACCGTCTGGGTGTTCTTGTGCGTGGGGCCCCGAGTCGGCTGCTGTATTCCTGACCGTGGTTGGAGGTGGAGGGGGACAGGCACCGTGGTGAGCCTAATGGAGAGGGCGTGAAGCGATGGCGGCGCTGGGGCATGGAGCAGAACTCGTCCTCTTCGTCCTCCAGGCTGTAACTGTCAAATTCTTGATCGCTGTAGGTGCCGCCCCGCCGCAGGGAGTGCAGAGAGGTGGTGGAGCTGCGTCGGGATGCAGTCGCTGAGCACGAGGCATAATCCTGTCTCAGACCTAACACCAAACACATGCAGTTAAAAAAGGAAACTGCATATACATGGAGTCATACAAATACACCATCTAAATATCTACAGAGGTGTAAAAAGGTGATTGCAATAAGTGTTACTGTGCTTCTACATTTCTTTATCAGCTTTCACCAACAGCAGTGTACTGTTTAAAATATGAAAACACAATCAAATGTCAGGGTTTCCGTTAGCCGGTAATTACAGTTTTTTTAGCTGGTAAAATGTATAAAAACACGGTAAATTCAAAACCTGCCGGTCAAAATGTCCGGTAATAATTAGGGATGCCCCGATCGATCGGCCGATATTCACTCACAGCAGTGATCGGTGCTCTCTATAAAGGCTGATCAGGAGAGCCGATCAGATGACGAAAAAACACGAGACTTTCCTCTGTGCGCGGCAAAAGAAGCTCGCCCAAATGGCTTCACCAGTCTGGCAGTTTTTTAAGGTGTCCGAAAAAGACAATAAAATAGCTATATGCTTATATGTATATAAGTAGTTTGTTTGAATGTAACAATTATGTTTTTTATTGTTTGTGGAAGCGCATCATTTATTGAAAAATGAATCTGAACTTTTCGATCTGTTACGATTATAAACTGAAGCAATATAAAAATGAGCCCCATTAACTGAGTTTTAAACATCAGCATTATATTACCGGTCATAGTCCTGTAATTACCTGCTAATGGAAACTCTGCTACACAATTATTATTATTATTATTATTATTATTATTGAAACATGACCGGTAAGTTTAGAATTTGTCCCGTAAAATAAATTATTTCCGGACACTTGACCGGCAAGAAAAAAATCCTAGCGGAACAGCACACCATGACTCACTTTCTTCCTGCAGGCGAGCCATGATCTGGACATCAGTGAGATCCTGCAGCTTGTAGCCCATAGAAATGGAGTCATCTGATGTGCTGAGCTCACTGTCTATGGACGACTGCGAGCTCAGGGCTGAATGCATGGTTGTTGGGACACCTGTAGAAACACAGTGGGGTACCTGTTACAACAAGCTGCTTCTGACACATACATGGTAACAATAAGCAGTTATTTCAACTTCTGTTCAAGGGGAAATACTAAGTGTTCAAAGAAAAGCTCTCCAGATAGGAAAGAAACAATGGCTACACCTTCCTCATGATTCAAAACACCTATCCGACTAGTATGCATTCAAATGTGTCTTAAATTACATTACATTTCATTTAGCTGATGCTTTTATCCACAGTGACTTACAATTACCAATTACAGGGACATTCTCCCTGGAGTAATTAAGGGCTAAGTGCCTCACTCAAGGGCACACTAGTGGTGATGTTCCTGGCGGGATTTGAACTCACAACCTTCTGATCTTCACCCCACCTCACTATCCATTAGAGCACCATTATCCCTAAATAATCCTAAGCAGTGACAGGTTATACCTTCATTGTGCTGACAATGGTACCAGGTTAAAATATGCACAGCACAGCCAGATGACAATCGTATCCCTGGATGATAAATATATTTTAAACCAAGCAGAAAAAAAGAAATTCACCACACAAAATAACACATTTCATTCAAGGCACTATCCCCCTTTTGAACCAAAAGATGAGTATGACAAATGGCCGACCTTCACCTATGTGGTGACTGAATTGATTTGCTGCCTGTGGGATCTGTCAGACTCTGCTCAGAGACTGGTTAATCAGGTTCATATAATTGTATTATCAATATTTACCATTTAACATATAATCGCCTCAAGGTTAACAAGCAGAGTATTAAATCACACTGTTGTAGATGTTGTAGATTACATTTTGGAAAATAGAAGCTTTATTGTTCCCGAGTGAGTTATAACTGCCTGCACCAGGACACATTTAGATTTAAGTTTATAATT